AAGATATTATTAATTTATTATTACATTTACAAGTTATTTCAATTGTTACTTATTGATTTTATTATTGTGTGCAGCTGTTCCATGTTGTGGTTGACAATGAAGTAACCAGCAAGAAGCTGCTTCAGAAAGGTCAGCTCCAGCGCCGTTGCACGATCATTCCTCAAAATAAGATTTCAACTAGGTCTTTGTCCAACAATGTCATTGCTAAGGCTGAAGATCTGGTAAGAGTGACTGCTTCTTTATTATCATTAAATTACATATTATTGTATGGCCAATGTAAAGTTTACAAATCGAAATCGCTTTTCTATGGTCTGTACGCTTGTCGACAATGAAAATGACGTCAGAAAATGATCAAAACTCAAGTGGAAGCACGAGTGTAGTGAGTGGTTTCACTGCCAAGTTTTGATCATTTTCTGGCATCATTTTCATTGTCGATAAGCATACAGACCATAGAAAAGCGATTTTGATTTTTTTTTACCATAACAAAGCCGAAAACAAAGTAAAACTTTCAAAACAAAATCGTTTCTGGCGCGCGCCAGCTCCGTGCGCAAACGATATGTCATTTCATCGCTCTGTCCTACGATCAACAATGGCTCTCGACCAATCAGCGTGCGAGAGTTCTAAGTTATGGTAAAATTGTTTTTTGTCCCAGACATTTTGAATGCAATGATCTACATGTAATATGGAATAAAAAATAAATAAAATAAAAACTGAAAGTGTTTTAGTCCCGTGTCGGCAAGAGTACTTTGACTTTGAGCTAGTTTCTTGCAACTTGTGGGATCATCAGGCTACTGATTTTAGCTGTAATATAGAATAGATTTCCTTACGGTACATGCCATCTTGAAATTTAACCATGCCTTTGCATAAAAGTGAGATGACTTTTACATGTAAGCATGCCATGATAGATACCTGTGGATAATTGTCTGTAGGCATGAATGAAGGTCTCTATCTTGCACACTCAATCATTGTCTCGCTTTGATGCAAAGGCATGTTTCAAGATGGTGCAGGGAACCGTGAAGGAAATTAATTATGGTGATATTAAATAGCTAATATTATTATTGTCAAATGGCGGCTCTAGAAGGGGACTAGGGAGAGGAGCAGGGAGAAGTAAGAAAGGGAGGGACACTGAAGACAAGAGGCAGTTTGTTTATCAAGTGATGATGATTCTGATAGGTTGGCAAAGAAAATGTGAATTTAGCACTATCGCTGGTGGGGTATGAAGATGAAGTCAAAACAGCCATTTCCTCTATCTTTGGTACCACTTTTATTTGTGAAACCGAAGAGCAAGCTAAGAAGGTAACTAAATAGGAATACCCATTCTTTCATTTACTTTTATTCACATGTCTTTCTTTTATCCCTATCACATGTAAGACAGGGAGCCCATGTCAGAGAAACCTCAAATAGGTTTTTAAAAAATAGCCCTCAGAAATCTAATTTTTGTGCTTCAAAATTACTTGAAAAGTCCTGGATTTTGTGAAAAAATGTAGCACAAACCCTAAAGGATTTTGCCTCTGTACATGTACCCTGCGAGCAGAGGAATTTTCCACCCCCTTCTACGAAGAAAAGGAAAAGTGTTTTTTCCTTTCTTAGATAGGGGAAAAATTTCTCTGCTCGCAGGGTACTGTACATGTAGTTCTAATTGATTTTAGATTTTCAGTTACATAGCATCTCAATGGGTCCTAGTCTGATTCTATTGGGAATAATAGAACCCGAGTTATGATTACAAAAAAAGATGAGAATTTTTGTAGTTTGTTTTGTAATATTTATCTAATATGTTGTCTTTTTAGGTGACTTATGATCCAAAAGTTAAATCAAAAACTGTGACAGTAGAAGGTGATATCTTCGACCCATCTGGAACATTAACTGGAGGTAAACTTAATCAATTGATACTCAAAAAGYGTTCCCTGCTTATAAGAGTCAGTACATGAACTGGATAGCTTTGTAATATATAAAATATGAGTGGGAGACCTTTATGGGTTAAAACTGCGAGCTGCAAGCGTGCAGTTTTATAGCCCATAAAGGTCGGACGCAAATATTTTATATTGCTTATCAAATTCCAACATAAGATAAAGCATATTTCGAAAAAAACTTCAGGATAAAACATCATTTGTAAGAGAAAATCGAAGTTAAAGTCGTATGCAAATCA